TTTTAATGTTTACATCACACAATATTCCTAAAATGTCCAAAAACAAAATGTTTTTCCAAAGAAAATGTAAAAACACTAAACATCAAAAGATGAATAAGAATAGTCAAATCAGGCCCAAAGAACGTGAACAAAATATTCTGATAGTTGATGTTTAAGAGAAAATAAAACACGACATAAACTCTGGTTTCTAATCGATCAGATTCACAGCTCGTCGATATTTCCCAGTCCGTGTTTGCGTCTGTGAGTTTCCGGGTTTACAGAATCAATATTCAGCTTTTTAATTTTGGTTGTAACAGTTTAACCCTACAGATCAATACTCAATAATCAGCCCTCCCTACCTGTTTGTCCTCCACCAGGATGCTGTACACCAGCGGGGAGGAGGGGGGAGACCGAGGAAGGCGAGAGGATGAGCGGCGAGGACGCCTGCCTGGACTCTGACGCACTGAGGCGTTGTGGGAACTGTTCCTGAGGGTGGAGTCGGCTGATGAGGTGTTCTCGGTGCTGCCGAAGATGCTGTCGCTGCTCCAACCTGCAGCACAAAAAGACGTAGATGTGGACAGCTGTGCCACATCTGCATCTCGCTAATTAAACTCAAACTGTTTAAGTTTGAAGCTAATTGACTAAACTAACTCTTTAATTATAGATTATTGTGATGTCACAGCTGACATACGTAACACCAAAAGCAGTTACGATAAACTCCGTTTAAACTGACTCTGGGTTCACTTTCACACAGACTTCAATACAACTTCTGAGTTATTTCGCCCCCTGCTGGTCATCAAGAAGGATGGTTTTAGGCACGTCCACACCTGCGTCGCTGTTTTAGACACAGAAGCTTCAACACCAAAGAGCCACAACAGCCACAGCGCAACTTCAAACACTAATAAATCGAGCAGGTTTGTTCTTGATATAAACAGAAGACAGAGTCAGAGGTGCAGAGATAACTTGCTCCTGAACACCTCCCAGGCAACAGAGCTGATCATCGACTTCAGGATGAAATAAATCAATAATTAAGCCTTTAATAACGAGCAGGAACTCCGTGGAGAGGGTCACAGACTTCCAGCTGAGCTGGGCCATAAACATAAAAAGGCATCGCAGAGACGTTACATCTTCCAGAGGCCGAGAGATTTAAAACGTGTGCTTTAAATGTCTCTTTTCCCGTGGGACAGAAAAAGGGACACCATTAACACTGGACGTCCTCTCGCTACTCTGGAGGAACCTGCGTAGTTACTGCTGCTGGAAAAACACAAATTCAACATAATAACATCATAAAGGATCAATCTCACTGTTAGCATCAGACAGTGTTGAAGTGTCCTCATGAATGTGCTCTTTGCACTAAACGACAATGGAGAAAGTTCTTGTCTCCTTTGTCTTTATCTCTTATATAGTTTAATATCATTTATAACGCTATTTTTATTATTGTTGCGAGTGATCATTGCACTCCTGATTGCACTTAATTTCACTGTACACGTTACACTGACACTAGAGTTATTTTATTCTTTTGTTGCATCAGTATTTGCAAACCAGAAGGATTGCCGAGGAGCTTAAAGGGCACACTTTATGTGACGTCTGCCAGCTGGATGTGTGTCAGCTGAGCCTGAACCAATGCTTTTCCTTCCTCTGTGAGTGTGCAGACTGTAAATCCAACTGCAATCAGATTCAGTCCTGACACAACACAGACAAAGACAACTTTCTTGCCCTTTGGCAGATGGATGGATGGATGGCTGGATCAACAACTACTGACCGAAGTGCGAGAGGTTCGATGGGTCTGAGCCACCAGTGGTGGGATACAGCGAAATGTCCTCCCTGTCTTCCTCTTCTCTTCTTTCCTCCTTCCTCCTCAGCATCTCCTCTCTTCTTCTGCTCTCTGATCTCATCTGGAAAA